CTTTTTGTGTTGAGTTGTTGGTACCTTTTGCCGCACCTCCGATGAGTACGGTTGGCTACGTTACGGTGCAGAAGAAGCTGAACGTAAATACATGTTCAGCTCATGCGTTGATAGGTGATGAATGCACAGTTGATAGGCTAACCGGTAGCTGGTGAAACTCAGCGAGCAAAACGATGGGAACCACAGACATTGGCACAGCAAGACGGAACAAAAAAAAAAACCCGACGAGATTTCAGACAGAGATGGAGAGAGTGCGGGGTGGGGGGTGAACTAGCTTCTCTCAGCATGACGGCCACGGCAAGAGAGTTTATTTATAGCCGAATGGATGTCACCGAGCCATATGCCAGTACTCAGCTCGTGCGTTTGGGCGGCAAGAGAGGGGATGGCAACGCTTCGCCACGCAAGTCCCCGTCGCGACATCTGAGCCGAAGCGATGAATCGATTAAAATCAATCTTGGTGGATCACGTTTTGAAAATGTTCTACACAATTCATTAATTGGCATTCACCTGAGCTTGTTATTAATTGATACAACTCGGGATCGGTTTAGATATCGCGAGCAGCTCGTTGTCCACTACTGCTGGGTATCGAACTCGGGTGGCGGGGTCCTCCGTGCGGTCCTCTGAGCCTCCGCTACAGTCGCACAAAATCGTTGATTTTGTTTGAAAACCGTTCACGGAATTTGGATTTGAAGCTTTCGTGACTGCAGGAATCCATACTCTTGGCTTATTTCGGTAAAGTCACGTAGGTAGAAAAAATAATAGATCATGACGTTTCGATCGCAACACAAGCGGCCGTCATCAGGTGAGACAATCACAGCAGGGAAACTGCTGAAACAGGCTTCAACAGGCTGTTTACCGAAAGAACCAAAGGGTACGTTCACGGAATTGTTCTATTCAACTGCTTGAAGCGATAATCGATCAACGAATCTGGCCTTTAAACAGTTCACAGTCGCAGTCTTTCCCCTGCAGCCCTGTGACTGCTCGCTCGTGCCACCGCTGGCGGAAGGGGTCTTCCTCTCTAGAGCATTTGACCTCCTCTTCCACACCGGCCTGACGTGTCGGAAGAGGTGAGAGTACCCACACTTGACCCCGCAATACCAGTTGACTACCTGTTGGCATAGCCATTCGACTGCCCAGTAGACAGTGAGGTTGGAGGGTGGTGTGTGGAGAGCGGGCGGGGGGACGGGGACGGTCAGATGTCAACTACCTCGCCTGGTATAGAGGAGGTCGTGGGTTCGATCCCAGCCCCTGACGCCTGCTGTATATTTGGAGTTTGCGTGTCGCTCTCTCTCTCTCTCATCATCATCACGGTGACTAGGATATGTTAACTCCCTCGCCTGGTATACAGGAGGACGTGGGTTCGATCCCGACCCTGACGCCTGCTGTATATTTGGAGTTTGCGTGTCTCTCTCTCCTTGGTCGCTTGGATTTTTTGTCTCCGGGTCATCCGGTTTTTTCCCTCCACATTTAGAATCGACATGCGTTTACATTTCCACACGACGATAAGCCACTTCGTTGAGCTATCATTTGTGGCCAGGTTCGCTTCTGAAAAAAATAGCTACATAGCTCAGTGGGCCTTACCTGATTAATTGAAAGCATTTATTAATAGTTTTATTTATTTAGGTTTTTTTTGCATTACCGGGAAGTGGAATCGAACTGGCGCGCACCCACCGTGTGGATTTCGAGCTCGGGGCGTGCGAACCGCGGCAGCAGCGGCAGCAGCAGCCAGCCGCAGCCGCGGGCGACACGAAAGGCATCGCGGGCGCTGGCCCAAGTCTCGGGTGGCCCCTTGCACCGAGTGGCTTCAGAAACTTACAGCGGCTGCGGCGGCGGGAGCGACGACAACGGCAATGGAAGGAGGGAGGCGGAGAGCCCTCGGGCGCCGGAGATTTCTCCATGGGGGGTAGGGGGGGTGTTTGTCGGCCCAAGTGTGCGCTCTCCCGATTTTTGGCCACGACCGACAGCCAGTCATCCGCGAAAGACGCACGCGCAACAACTGGAGATCGCTCCGGGTCCGTTTTTTCGCGCGTTGGGATACCTTATAGCTTTGTTACGTCTGTTTGTGTGTGTTGATGAGGAGTGATCAATTGTTACGTGTGTGTGGGTGCGTGGGTTCGTGTGTGTGGGGAGCGGTGGTTTAGCTGTTAGCGCTACGCTGCGCTGCGAACCCGGCGACCCGGGTTCGATTCCCGCTCACGGCCATCACCGGCGACAATTATTTGAACCGGTGCTGGGCCTCCCCTAGGTCGACTCAGCCTCAAATGAGTACCTGGTGCGATGTGTAAACATCGCCACTAGGAAGACAAAGGCGGCCGGGCGTGGTGTGCCGTGCCCGCCTTCATAGGTGCTCGCTAACAGCACTTGCCCCAACAGTTTGTTAAGGCTATACGGGGTATCTTTTTTTCGTATTTTGTGTGCTGCAAAACCGGCGACCCGAGTTTGACTCCCGCTCTCGGTCAATCATTACAACAGAGAATAGTTAACCGGTCCTGGGCCGAGTTGACCCCTGGGTCAACTCGGCCTCAAATGAGTGCCTGGTGCGGCGCGCGTAAACACCGGCACTGGGGAAACAAAGGTGGCCGGGTAGACGATATTGCATCGCCAGGGTCGTGAGAGTTGGCTCCGGCTCGAGGAGGCCTGCAGCCAGCAGTGGACGACTGAGGGCAATGAGTCTGCTTGACCACGACATGGAGATCGGTGGGCGAGTGTGGATCTGAATTGCTTTGAAAAAAAAAATCTGATATTGAACTCAAATTACGCTGAGTAACAGCGCGATGAGTGGGCGAGCGTTGGGATGGGCGCGCGTGGGTGTGAGAGAGAGAGAGCGTGGGTGTGAGAGAGTGTGGGTGTGAGAGAGAGAGAGCGTGGGTGTGAGAGAGAGAGAGAGCGTGGGAGTGAGAGAGCATGGGGGGTGTGAGAGGGAGTGGGTGTGAGAGAGAGAGAGAGCGTGGGTGTGAGAGAGAGAGCATGGGTGTGAGAGAGAGAGAGCGTGGGTGTGAGAGAGCATGGGGGGTGTGAGAGGGAGTGGGTGTGAGAGAGAGCGTGGGTGTGAGAGAGCGTGTGGGTATGAGAGAGCGTGGGGGTGGGTGAGAGAGAGCGTGGGGGGTGTGAGAGAGCATGGGGGGTGTGAGAGAGAGTGGGTGTGAGAGAGAGAGAGGGTGGGTGGGTGAGAGGGAGAGAGAGAGCGTGGGAGGTGTGAGAGAGAGAGAGTGTGAGAGAGAGAGAGCATGGGTGAGGGCGATCGTGGGTGGGTGTAAGAGATTGTGGGTGGGTGTGAGAGAGCGTGGATGTGAGAGAGAGAGCGTGGGGGGTGAGGGTGAGCATGAGTGGGTGCACTTGCCCGTGTGTCAGTGCGCACATTTCATTGTTCAGCCAAAAAACCAGGGCTCTCAAACCCCCGAGGCTCTCTTCACAGACTGCCTCGCCAGCTTTCATATATTTCTACGTCCAATAATAATAATGGAAATCTGCGCATAATCAGAAGTTCAGAATCAGATGTTTACTTAAGTTTATATTCCGAGTCAAGCCCACTGAGCGTAGAAGCTCTTTCACCCAGGGCATTCCACACCGCAACGCAGAAAACCGACATTAAATTGACCGCCTTAGACGCGCTGTGCCAGACCAATGCCCACTTGGCAAGCCGCCGTTGTGGCGTATTTCTTGTGCCGCGCCTGGGACAGCTGCCTCCATGGGGGGCGGGGGGGGGGTCTCTTAGCCTCCACTGCAGCGGGGCAATCGCGGCGTGGCCGAGATGAGAATGCGGAGGCGGTGCGCGCTTGAGTCGCCGTGGCAAGTTGTTTTTTTAAGCAAGCGCCACTCGAGCATGCAAATCACGATGCCCGCGACAGGTCGTTACCTGACGCTGGCCTGTGCCAATCTGAGCTTGCCCCAGCCACATGCGAGAGGTGACCGGGGAGAGATTGAGGTGGACAGGAATGTCAGGTGCCGGCTTCAACCAACCACTTGGTGTGCCGTGGTGCAGGTGTTGTACGTACATTGGACTTATTTCGCCGTACGTAGCCAATCGCGCTGTATCGGAGCCGCAATGTAGTGGGCTCAGGAGGTGCACGCTGACTGACCTCGTTTCAGAAACCTCGATGGCCAAAGGGACATTTGACGATTTTGAAGTACAAATTAAAGTGTGTTCACCGCTCAAGCGGTGGACCTGGGCCGGCGGTGGAAATTCCACATTATCATGGGAGCAGCCGGTCTCTCCAGAAGATACCAGCTGTTGACTTTTGTACAAAGTGGTACTTAATTTAATGCCTCTGCACGAACGATGATGATGTGCTGAGTCACTTCCCAACCAGGATTGGAACTCGCAACTTTCTGACAGTTATGACATTTGTAATCGGTATTTAAATTACACTCCCCTAATTAATTGTCCATTTGTATGTAACGTCTGAGTGTAAAGAGCCCAGCAGTGCTCTCCATATTTCTGCACAGATCAGGGAGCTGTACCCGAGCTCAGTAGCCCGAGAATACATTTCTAGCATTGGAGCACAGGCCTCTGAGATAGATGCTCGGAATTTAGTGGCAACACGGGAGCGGCAATGCAGAAGTGGGGAAGCTAAGGTTGCAGATGGTTGTGTGTGGATATGATTGCGCTGGGTAGGACATGTGTGTTGTGCAGGATGGGTGAGGGCCAGCTGGTTACCGGGCCTAATATCGGAGTGGTCGCCACGACTCCACGAAACCACGGGGAAGAGTAGACCAATGAACGGATGGTTGGAGACCGTCGGGGCAGACCGCGTTGTGCCGCTGAGCATCTTCTCTACCGCGCAGCAGCTGCGAGTTCTGGTGGAGGAGGGTGGAACGCGCTAGGAACGACGTCTGGTGGCGTCAACGGTATTGCCATGATGACATCACGTATCCGCATTGCATGACTGCAGTTATTTTTTATGTATTTACATTGTTGCCGCCTGCTCCTCTCTCGCCCCCCTCCCCGCTACCCCCCTCCTCTTCCTCCTCTTCAAACCCTTCCGGCGCCGTCGACCCAGGGGCGATCTTCGAGGAGTCGGCGCTCAAGGATCAGGAGGCGTTCAGCCTGGCCGTGGCCGACATCAACGCCAACGAGGAGATCCTGCAGAGCGAGCAGATCACCTACTCGATCCGCACCGTGGAGGGAGACAACCCCTTCCAGGCCCTGCAGGAAGGTACGCACGCGGCCTTCCAGTCGGGGCTGTGTGGGGGGCCTATGGGATGTGGGGGGCTGAGTGACGCCGTGGTGGGGGGTGGCGGGGAAATGAAGGGGGGAGGGGGACAGGGGGTGGGCTGATGCAATGGTTAGAGATGTTGAGTAGGAAGATAATGATCAGCTTCTGTGTCGACGGGATGGGACATGAGATGGCTTAGTTCTTTGGCTGTTTGTACATTTCCACGCGATAAGCCACTATGTTGAGCTTCTGAAAACGAGCTGTATAGCTCATTGGTCCTTGGCTGGTACAATAAAAAGAAGAGTTTAAATAGTTTGTGTGGAGGAGGTGCCATACCGTGACTGGCCAGGAGAAAGCGGTACGGGAAGTGGACTAATCGGCCACCTGTTTCCATCTGTAAGGGGATTGATCGTTGCCTCCTCTGGGTGCTCCGGTTTCCACCTCCCACGTGCATAATGAGCAGAACTCGTTATGGATTGGCTGAAATCATCTGCATACCTGTCAAACTCTTATCTTATTACAGACCAATTCAGACCTTATTGGTCATCCCGTTCTCCTTTTAAATCTCAACGTTCATCCTACACAGTCCCATCAAGAGGAAGACACACACAAACAAATAGACAAAAAAATATGTTTTGCCCGTATTGACACGGCTGTACGCCGAATAGATCTGAAAACTCAATTTCCCTGTACAAGAATACGGGGTAAACCGTATGGGCTGACACGGTATGCATCATACAAATATAACGCCCCAATACAGCAGCAGCAGCAGAACCCTCCTGACTCGGTGTGTCTTTCCTGCACGAATGAGCAAAAACATGTTGTCAAACGCTTTCCGGTTGTAAATGAATTACCCTCCGGCGTCGTAACAACCGTCGAGGTATCCGTAAAGAACACGGACACTTAAATCGCTCCGCTCGTGTGTGCGCACATCACGCTGAGACCACCGTGTGATGCATTCTCGAAAGGGACAATGGTGATGTGAACGATGGTGAACAGAAATCTCTTGCGGGCGGTTGCCATTGTTTGTGGCGATTTCATGCGAATTGTATGCATGTTGAAATTCTTTGGCGCCGTACGTAGCCAGCCATGCTCATCGCAGGTGCGAGAGGCTTGAGTTGATTTGGATAAACATGATTTATAGTAGAATGCTGTCATGCTGCATGTTCCAACCTGTATTTCTTTTGAAATTATTTGCTGTTTTCGGTTTGCGGTGATGTGCTTCACTTCAATTTCTGATCGCGTTACGCTTTTCTGTTGTTCATATTATATCCCCCACCCTTAATACCCCCCCTTCACTCCCCACCCCCCTTGGACCCGCTTCACCTCACCCTTGTTGAAAATGAGCATCTATGCTCGATGGGCCCTATCCCCGGGTAGGGGATTCATCGTTTCTGCCTTGGCAAAAAACCCAAGCCAGCAACGAAAATCGGAGCTTTAGCGAGCCAGCCGATGGACATGTTGGCAGCAGAAGTTGGACTCCGGATCGTGGAATTGTTCCAATCCGACCCAGCCCAGTCGTAACGCTCGTGCCAGTGGATGTAGACCACTGGCAGCATTGAGACACTTGTACAAATTGTGATACTATTGATGATAATTCACAGCCCCTTAGTTAACCCGCTGCCGCATGGACGTCTCCGCCATGCTGTGCGTTGTTTGCAAGTGCTTTGTTTGACCACGCTGGCCGGGGCGGGTCTGTGAAAGTGGCAACCAACCACGGGCCGGGTCGATATCACTTGCTGCTGATGTTAGCCGTGACCAGGTTTCGTCGTCGGCATGATCAATCCACTGCTGGACGAAGTTTGGTGTTGCCTGTTCGCGTGGTCCTGTGATGTAGAATTCCGTCCGGCTGCTGAACGTTAGCATGTGCAATGATCTCAGCCTTGTCAAGACCACCACGAGCTCAAGAACTGAACATGCGGCCATATCGTTATTTAGACCGCCAAACTGAAATAGTTGAAAAATGTGGCCCCAGCCCCAACAAACACTATGTATGCATGTTGAACTTATTTCACACCGTACGTAGCCAAACCGTGGTAATCGGAGGTGCCGGATATGAACGGGAGTTACGCTTTCCTACGCGCGTTGTGAACTCTACCTTGTCTAATCATGGGCGACTTAAGCCCGGATTCCAACCCATGGATGCGAGCTTCGCTGGCTCAGCGCCTGTGACCCCCCCCCCCCCCCCCGTTCGCCCCCCTCGGAGCCACTCAGCCACCGACGCAGCCAAGCGGTTGGCTGTCTACGACCGCGACAGATCCACAAACTGCACTGCAGCTGCTGCTGCTGCTGCTGCTTGGACATCGGGCGCTGAAGTCTGAAACGAGCGTGGGGGCGCTCGCTCTCGATTAGTCGTCGCATCGATCCTCCTCGTCGGCGGCCGCCGCCGCCAACTCTCTCTCTCTCGTTTGGCGAAAGCGTAAATAATTGCCGCTTTTATATTGTTGATATTATTCACATTTTTCTTTGACCATTTCTGCCCAAGAGCTGTTTGTTCATGCACGGGGATGTGACGGCATGGGATTTGCAACAACAGCACCCAAAGTCTTGGTTCTTTCGGTAAAGTCACGTAGAAGGGAAATAATAAAATAATATAAATATAAAACAATAAAAAATATATAATATAAATATTATTTTACTATTTCCCTTCTACGTGACTTTACCGAAAGAACCAAGAATATGAATCCCTGCAGTCGCGAAAGCTTTAAATCAAAATTTAACAGCACCCAACTTTGTTTCGCCGGCCCGCTGTTCGCGTTTGTGCTTGAACGCGCGTCACTCCAGCCGCCCCTCCGAAGGAGAAGCAGGGGATAGAGCTGACATGACTGATTTGCTTTTGCAGGGCCGTGTTCTAGTTCTACACAAATATATCGCCGAACAGAAGTCATCCTTTTATCCGCCACCCAGCTTACCGGCGCAGCGCTTAAACATCAGCACCGGGGAGACAAAGGCATCTGGGCCTGGTGCTGCCAAAGCCATCACTCCGTCGTGTGTTGTTCCAGAACTCGCTTGCGGCCGTGGCATTCGTGATTTCTAGCGAATCGCATTTCAGACTCGGAATCGGAATGTTTATTGGTACAGGAGGAATCCGATGAGCTATGAAGCTCTTTTTCACAGATGCCCAGTTTGAGCGGGTCAGCAAGCTACATAAACAAGCGATGCACGTAGAGGCACGTCACCGCCGAGAGACAGCAGAGAAGCGATGGCTCTGGGGCCAATAGGAGATGCAAAGTATAGGGAACGGTACGCAAATCGTAAGAAAAGAATTGCCTTCCTGTGCAAGGCCAGGCCGGGTGGGTCCTTTGTCTCTTTGTCTATTTTTGTCAATCGGAGGAGCGGTATTTTCCATCCCCTTGCATAAAGAGGAGGAAAACATAATACGAGCTATTTAAAAAATTCCTGCACAAAGCCTTGAAGCTTTTCACCAATATGTACCTCTGCTGGGTGGCTAGATAATAGCTACTGCTGAGGGCACCATGGTGGCGCGATGTTACCTCCCTCGCCTGGTGTGTAGGAGGTCGTGGGTTCTATCCCGATCCTGACGCCTCCTGTTATATTTGGAGTTTGCGTGTCTCTCTCGCCGTGGTTGTTTTTTCCCTCTGGGCCCTTCGTTTTTTCCCTCCGCGTGTAGAAGCAACGCGCGTTTGGAGTACTCCGTTACCGCCTGTGAATTTCAACGCGACGATGAGCCGCTTTCGTTGAGCCGTCATCTCTGGTCGCGAGGTCGCTTCTGAAAAAGCGTGACGGAGCTCAGTGGGCCTTACGTGGTCGTAAACAAACAAAAAAACTTCAGTTTGTAGAAGCGTCTAGCGTCGAGGTTGTCGGCTGCTTCCTCCGTCGCCACCTTTACATAAGCGGCAGTCACGCTGGGAGCTAGACAAGTTTAATTAATGCGGATAGTTGCTATGCACGGTCGTAATAATTGTTAATGTTGTTATTGCCCTTGCGACGGGACAGATTGGCTTGAAATTCTGTCGTTTAAATCACCCCCCTCCCCTCCTTGCCAACTTACAAATGTTCCATTTGCCAAATCCGCCCCACCCCACAGATGTATTCACTTGGCACGCACGCGCGTGTGGAGAGCGATAGTGTAGCGGTTAGCGCGCTGCGCTATGAACCTAGCGACCCGGGTTCGATTCCCGCTCACGGCCAACACCAGTGACGATTATCTGAACCGGTCCTGGGCCTCCCCTAGGTCGACTCAGCCTGAAATGAGTACCTGGTGTGGTGTGTAAACATCGCCACTGGGGAGACAAAGGCGGTCGGGCGTGGTGCTGGCCACCCACCCCCTCGTGTACCGTTGCGGCCTTCATAGGTGCTCGCTAACAGCACTTGCCCCTACAGTCTGTTAATGCTATATGGGGGATCTTTGTCTTTGTGTGCGCGCGTGTCTGCGCACGGTGCTAATTTCTTCAGCGCTACCTCTTTCTGTTCAGTTTGTTGTCCTTCCCCCGCACCTCTGATGAGCACGGTTGGCTACGTGCGAAAGACGTTCAACTACTGGGCATCTGGTGAAAAAGAGCTTCACAGTTCATCGGATTCCTTGAGTGTAAGCAAATATATATTCTGATCCTGATTCTGACGCACAGAGGCAAAGACGAAGATTTCCCCGCCCCCCGCCCCCATCCTTTTGTCGACTGTTGGGGCAAGCGATGTCCGTGAGCACCTATCAAGGCCAATGCGGCACACGACGGGGTGGGTGGCCAGCATCACGCCCGGTTCACTTCTGTTTTCCAAAATGCTGACGACGTCAGCTGAGTCGACCTCGGGGAGGCCCTGGACTCGTTCCGATCGTTCTTGAGCGGGTTGGCCACAGGGCGGTGATTGTACTCGGGTCGCCGGGGTTTGTAAGCGCAGATCGCTAACAAACTCATACAACAACAACTGACACTCGCCAATAACAGGCGGTGATGGCACCACGGCGCTTGTGCCAGGCTAGGTGCACTTTGAGGCCACGTGAAGTGTCTTAGGCTCGATGGCAGGTCATCACGTGACAGACC